GGAAGAAAAGCCTCACCCTCGTCCCCTTCATTCATTCATTTGAATTCCTATCAATTCATCAAAAGAACCCCTTGCCGATTTCTTCTATCTTTTTTTCAGAGTCTCTTACCTTATTATTCTCAAGGAATGCAAAACAACATCTGATATGTGCAAAGCAGATGCGAAGATTCCATCTATCGATTCTCGTTTCGCAGCATTTGCGCAGAACAACTCGCATTTTGCAAAATTAAGCGAAAAAATAATTTCTTCTGGGGATGCGGACAAACATTTATGTTGAATCCAGTCCCGTTGATTTTTCTATGAGATATGCTGAATTAGCTGATTGTTACAAAATACTTTTATAGTCGTGACATCTAGGTGATAAAAGAAGCAAACGCTTCGACATTTGCCGAGCCTACCCAGATGGCCGGACGGAGCAAGCACGTTGAGTCCTAGTGCTCAAACAGCGGCGAACTCCGTTTGTACCAGGGGGATTTAGATCCTGATGGGATCAGTTCGCCTCATCTCTGGATTAATTAGCGTGTTTGTCTGGGCACGTACGTTCTTTTTTTTGTGATTTGCTGAGAAGTTCGAAGTTATTTCTCTGAATCCCTCATTTTGTATTTTTCCTACGTGTGTTGTGAGATTTCATTGTATTTTTCAGTGGTGTGATGAACATGCGCAGTGCCGCGTCTGTGATAGGAAAGACCGCAGAGTTATTCGTGCCTTTCGCGCTATCCATTCAAGTTGATTAAGAGAAGAGATTTCAGATGAACGAAATCTCTTCTAGTTCACTCCAGACTGGAACGTTATGCCAGCCCCCCTTTTTTTTCCGAGATGACTCAATTTTACATCGGAAAGGCGGAACTATCAAATTTTTCAATAATTGTGTTATGGTTTAGGTGCTGCGTGTATAATAATGTATTATTTGCTGATCCGGACGCATTGAAGAGGAGTTTTCTCTGGGTGATAACCTATTTAACTTGAATATTCGACGAATTCCTGATTCAACCGAGTATTCTGCCTCGGAAAACGAGCCGAGTTTTTTCAGAACGTTGGTTGTTGTTCACGAGGTGCTTATCAAGAATAATATGCGAGGAAAAGCAATTTACCGGTGAATATCTGCGACTTGGATTGTGCGGTCCCCAACCATTGGTTTTCAGCTTACGGAAATTCATGACCTGGGGATCACTTTTACGTGGTGATTTGTCATAACTGAGTTTTCTTCGAACACCAGTTTATTCTGCCGATCATATTGTGATTCCCTGATCCGGGGCTTCGTATTATTCTACATACAATCATTGATTGTACATGTTACAGAAGCCCCTGTTATCAGGTTATGGAAGGCAAAATCTCGTCGATAAGATCTTCGGAATGATAATCAACTGTTCAGCTTTTCAGCTGACGCGTTTGTTCAAGATCTCAGGCATTTTGAAATGTTCTCGTGCGATGGATTGATTCGAAGGTGTTACTCATTCCTGTAAATGTGTTGAAATCCTAGTGCCTCATGTTTTCATAGTTCAGTGTTAGCGGGAAGCGGCATTCTGTTCCCTTTCGTTTGAGTGAATTTCTCTGAAAATTCGTATATTTCCTTCTCCGATGAGAGAAACACAAACCGATCATCCTCCGGAGGAAAGGTGGGTGGTGGAAGTACTAAGTCTGTGAATCGAGACTCTTGAGAGTCGCTTTCGAAGTCGATCTTGCTTCTTTTTTCTTTTTGTCGTTCACCTAGAAAAACAAAAAATAAGTGCATATAACGGGTGTATCTGGTCTTACTTTTAACGAGTACCTCGAGAGCTCGTTTGTGATGCTGACGAGACGTCATTAACGCCCACTGGAGGTCGATGCTCGTCGAAAAAGGCATGTCATTACTTACATTATTCCCCTCCGCGAGAAATCATAATTAAGTACAAAATACAGCCGGTCTTGAGATTCTTAGATGGCATACTTAAAATGAAACAAAGCTTCAAGGATGTTTTTCTGGAACAATTATCTTTGAATCTGGTCTGGCTCGAGATTCTGGACTCGTTCGGATTCTGTTTCTGCACTAATGGGATGAATTTCTATCCCAGCTCCTTAATTACGGTTCTGAAGAAAGTTGGGGAAGTACTTATTTTCACTGCTGATGGTCGTTTTCGTCTTATTTAACAGTGAATCATGTCAAGTGAACCGTTTTTCTCGGTGATTTGGGTTGTGTGAAGTTGAGGTGTGCCAGGGAATTCGCGGAACGAATGAAATGGCGGCTTCGGTTCCGACATTCGGGAGTGAGTTATGCATTACGCCCGTGTTTTTTTTTTTTTCAGCTGAGAAATGCCTTGAATGGGAGACAGTTCGTCGTAAATGTCGATAGTAGAAGGAAACGAATCTTATCTTTCGAAGGGGATAAAGTTTCATTCATTCTTTTCGCCCGAGTGTGAAGGGGTTAGATTTTTTAGGAGCTTTTCGTTGTGATTCAAGATAAAGACAACTTGATTTGAAATTTTCGAAAAATATCGTTCTTACGATTTACTCGCAATTGTTTGCCTTTTTGAAGAATTTATGTTGATTTTGAAGTGAAACGTTATCCGTTTGTTGGTCTTTTCAGGAAGTGAAAATCATTAGAATTTTTTTTCGAATTCGTACAGTGTGAAATGATTAATTCTGCAAAAGCATTAAATCAACACCATCAATTTGGTAACAGATTTAAAGTCTACATTCTTTACATGACTAATGTTGATCAATGATGAACTTTATTAGCCTCATTACTATTTAAAAAAAAAGAATTTCAATTTGATCATTGCCACCATGTTTCTCAATTTGTTTGCTAAAATATATTCCTGTGGAGTATTGAGCAGGAGTAATTATTCAAGTACAGCACTGAAAAATAGTTTAGGTGTTTGCTCAATTGCAGAGAATCAAGTGGCACATATACCAGATTATACTGATGTGGCTCAGACTTCAAAAATCTTGAAAATAATATTTTTGTTTAGACATTCCTGAAGGTTCTCACAAGTGGCTGTTCCATTTTTGTGGTACATTCAAAGCAAGTAGACCTACTTTCTTTCCCTTTTGCCTTGTCAAAATATGTAATCTGCCACAGCTTTTGTTACAAAACAGATACAGTAATTGCATCTTGTGAAATTAGATAAAGACAGTAGCCTTCTTGGAGAAATGGTGTTGACATTCACATGATGAAAGGGCTATACAAACTGCTTTACTTAAATTCTTTGAAAGAAATTTATATTTTGTTTGAATAATACTTTCTGATGAGAAGTTTGTTTCAATTCATCTTGATAATGAATTTCATCATATAGTGAGTCCATGCGTAACAACTTGAGAAAAGATTCTCACATAATAAAAACATTTTACACAACAAAAGTTCATGAAATGCTGTGTGTGAAAAAGAAGACATGATTTGGAGCATCACTTCTGCAATTACTGTATCTTACCACATTTTTATTTTGTATGTGTTGTCATACCTGGTGCATTGTATTTACTCAAAGTACCATGTGCATCTTTTTTCTCAAATTTGAGAGGAAGAAGTTGGTTGCATGTCATATGAGGGTATACATTTTTGAAAAAGTGCTCTAAGTGTGCATTGAACTGTTGAACTATTTTACTTGATTCTGATGGGAAATGTTTGACCAGTTCTTACATAAACACTTGATTTAATGGAAACAATTAGGCAAATCCATGTTCAGTTTGTGTCCGGGTGTCCTTATCTTCAAAATACTGTGGTTTTGAATTCTCTGAAAAGGGTGTGCCTCTCTTAGACACGGATAGGATTTTTATAAAAATTCCGAATTCAAAAACCCTGGTGTGTGTAAATAATTTAGTTTTTGCTTCATTCACTCAAATTTGCATCAGCTTTGTACCTCTTGCAGGCATAGCGCTGTTGAAGTAACCTAGTTTCAGGGATTCCTGAAGACTCCCAACATAAGTTGGGTGTCTGTTCATCCAGGTCCTCCCTGAAAATTGTGACTCCGCATAATGGAACAGTTCCTATTGTTGTCTGTAAAGGGGGGGGGGGTGAGGACATGTATTGGTTGAACCCTTGGTTCAGTGGCGGGCTGTGCGTAGTGTGATCTGAAGGCTCAGTCTGTGAAGATAACGTTGGATTTCGTGCGATGGATCCAATCCCCATTCAATTTTTTTCTTCTTCTTTTGAATGGAAATCATCCGAAGACAAGAGGCTGTGCGTGTGCTTTGTTCGTCGAGAGTAATCCTCGGGATGGTATCCCGGCATTTATTGGATTAGAGAACGTTGTGCGACTAGTTATCGATTCTTCGGTAGAGAAAAACACATTTCAACGGAAAATAGCTCGTTTAGTTTTTGAATCAGTTGATGTGAGTGTTAAGTTTGAATTACTCGGCGATTTCGTGATGTGAGAACTGAGAAGACTGTTTTTCTGAGTGAATGTGAAAAAGTTTTCGAGATCTGTTTGAAAAGCTTCGGATTGTCGAGATTATACTCGTGCTAGTGAACAAGGATATTCGCGGAAAATTTAACATAATCAATCCCGTTCGTTGGAATGAAATGTTCTTTTGAAATCGTGGCACAGTGATGACCCGTGGAGATTCGCGACAGTCTCGTTTCATGTTCTTTCGTTCGAGATGAGAAAGGGATCGCGTTGTCTCGGAAAAACGGTTCCGACATTTTGATTTCTCTCTCGAAATCGTGGCTCAGTGATGAACTTATTTCGTGTAGAATTCGCGACAGTCTTCTTACTGATGATGGTTCCTTCGTGATGAGAGAGGATTCGTGTTGTCATGGAAAAACGGTTCCGACATTTTGATTTCACTCCCGGAATCGTAGCTCAGTGATGAACGTATTCCGTGGAGATTCGCGATGGTCTCGCTTGATGTATTAGTTCGTTCGTGGTAGAAGAATGATTTTGTTTCGGAAAACAGTTCGTAAATTTCGATTTCACTCACGAAATCGTAGCTCAGCGATGAAAATTTTTCGTGGAGATTCGTGATAGTCTTGTTGGATGTTGGTTCGTTCGGGATCAAGCAGGAACCGTAGTTGGATTTCACCGGAGTGTGTGTGTGTTTTTGCAGGTGTATCATGTGTTGTTCGCGGAATGGTGAATATCGCAGTCGTTTGGCAAACGCGTCTTGTTGCTTGCTTGTTTGCTGCTGGACTGCGACTTGGTGTTGGTCACCTCTGGTCACCGGGTTCTCCATCCAGGAACGCAGTGGGAACGAGTCAGTGAGTCAATTCAGTGAGTGGGCTATAAGAGAAAAAAAGAGAGAAAAACGAATGCCGACGTCGTGCTAACGTCTGTTTTCTTTTTTGGATTGCGAATTTCGAGGCTATATGGTGTCTTTTTTATTTATTTCTGAGGGAATCCTTGGAAACACCGTGAAAAATGCTTCATAGAGGCCTTTCTCGATCGTTTTCTCGCAAAATCTCCCGATGAACAAGAGGGATTTTCTTTTTCGCCAGTGTTTTTCTCGGGCATGCGGATAAATTGACGACTACAGCGGATCGGGTTCTTTCCTGGAAATACTGTATACGGACACCTTATGTGAAATATCGGATATGTTTATCGTGAGGCTCTGACTATCGAAAAAGAACATTTCAAATATCTCTCGAGAAAATATGATTCGAGGAGGACGATTTCACGAGAAGTTCCCTGAGATTCTTCTCCCCTCGGCTCCGGGGAAGCTCATGTAAATTTCCCTGGTCTTGTTCCTTTTTCGTTGTTGTGTCTGAATGAAGAAAATCTAGGAGGAGCAGAAAATTGCAGGTGTTTCTCTGCTCGCCTTGCAGCTGTGTTAAATTTATGTACTGTGCTGTAAAAATGGGCAGCTGATGGTGAAAACCACCTGTGAAGTAGCAGAAAGTTGGGGGGGGGGGGAGAATTGATCCCTTTTCAGGCACAGAATTACTATGAATAATAATTATAATCAAAATCGGAAAAGCAAAAAAGTGGGGGGGGGGGTTGGAGCAATAATCATCTCGCCGCCCCGAAAGTGTAAATGAAGTGCTTCTCAGCATGAAGAACACCTGCATGCCAACCATTTTGAAAAAATAAAATAAAAATACCACCCCCCTCAGGGGAATTTTTGCCGAAGGTTTTCTCCAAGAAACGAGCGCATATTTTTCTTTTTTTTTGAAGAATGCCGTCAGTGTTGTCGGACCTTTTGTGAGGATGGAGGTGCATTTTTGGCGCACGAAAATCGCTTACAATGGGACACTTTCGTCCCTGGTGGCAAGAACTGCATTCCTGCTGAAATTCCTTTAAAAAAAACCACCCCTGTGTTGGTGAACAATGCAAAACCCGAACCCACATTCCTCCCGGGTTTTTTCTCAGGGTTCCTGGAACGTGAGCAAGTAATAATAATGATAAAGGTGCCTTCTCACGTCTTCTACCCGAGGGTTCGATTGAATTGAATTATAATTTTCGAAGCTGCTGTTTTTTTCTCGTATGACATGATTTTTAAAAATGGCTCACTTCAGAACGCGGAAAACTCGGTCCCTTGCAAAAAAAATGGCTCTTGAATTCTGGGCTTTATTTAAAAAAAAAAATCGGTGAAATGAGAAAATAGTGGAACTTTTTGATTTGTCTTTGATGGATGAAAGGAAGAGAAAAAAAACTCCCCCGTCGGAAGAACATGTCACCCTTGGGGTCGGGTCCCAGAGAAACCCAGCCCCCCGGGGTCTTCCATTCATCCATTCAAAAATTCCTATCGATTCAATCAAATGAAACCCCCTCTCTTGACCATCTTTTTTACCTATGTTTTGTGGTTTTTTCCCCTACTTCGAAAGAATGCAATGACCAAATCTGATTTGCCCACGAGATGAAGAGACAAAAAACTTTTTGATTCCGTCCCCCGATTGTCATTTCGCAACAATTGCAAAACAACACGCATGTTTTGTAGCAGCATTCCTTTGCTAGGGGGGGAGAGGGTCACACATTTTTGTCTGGGTTTCTTTTTTGCTTTGCGATTTTTGTGACAATTTGGTTTTTTTTTTCTCAATACATTGGACCTTTGGTGAACAAACTGAATTGGTTCCAGGCAAAAATTTATTGCCCAAAAAGTTGGTAAACTGAATTTGATTTTCATGAAGACTTGAATGGGGAAGAATTTGATCCATTCTGTGAACCCAAAAGACAATTGAACTTTGAATATGAAAAATTCAAGACCATAAACCATGATCAGAATGAAGTGTGGCTGCATCTTATTTGAGCCTGGAATTTTTTTGTACAGTGTTATATGGAAGCAACAGTAATAAAAAATACAGTGAGACCCTGAGATGTGGACGTAATTGGTGCATCAAGATTGTCCCTGAATTGATTCTCATTTTCCCTTAGGCTTACATTATGTAATTTTTAATTGGTGTTTTATTGACAAAATACTCAACATGATTCCATGAAAATAAAAAGTGTCTCCCAATGTAAACTGATTCAATCAATATATTTCAACACAATATAGACATTTGGGGAATTGGATACTGATACCTCTGTACAGTACATAGAAATGTTGGCATTTTTTGTAAAAAATAACATTCAAGTGAAAAAGAGAGAAGGAAGTCCCTCTACGCTGGAGGTAATTTTTTAAATTAGCTAAATGAATGGTAAATTGGTGGGAGAAATGCCCTAGAGCTTTTCTTACATCAATTTTAGGGTTGGAAATATCTGTTTCTTGTAATTTGGTAAGAAACTTGTTCAAAATTTTATTACAAAATGTCCCCACGGTGAGTCAGTGTCCTCATGTTGAGCCATTTTTTTAATTGTTTAATGGAAAATAAGTTTCCCTATGTCAAATTGTCTGCATGTTGGGGTCTCACTGTATTGAAAAAAGCTTCATATCCAGAGAAAAACACTTTGAAGTATTCATGTCACGTGAAAATGAAAATTAATTTTTTTAATCTACCAGTAAAGATCAGATAGAAATTTTCCAACAGAAAAACTAGAAGAACCAAGCACAGAAAAACAAATGATTATGCTGTAGAAAAGGATACTATGTATGAATAATGCACCTTAAACAAATTTTAGAACACAAGATTACCCATATTCATGCACCAGGAGGGAAGAATTTTCATATCAGTGCCTGGGTGAATTATTTGTATTTAGATTGTGCCATGAATTTCACTCTTAAAATCAAATTTTTTTCATTTTCAAGGTAAATGTTTGTTAACCAAGGGTCCACTGTAGAATGCAAAACTCCAAACCCGTGCTCAAAAATGCCACTTGATACAAGTTGACGAAGATTCAGCAATTTTTTCAAAGACCTCTTCCATTGGCAATTCCTCAAATTTTTTTTTTTGCATGTTCGGTTGAGTTGAAAACAGTGTTTTTTTTCTGTTATTGTGCCCTTGATTTCTGCTTTCAAATGAGGTCGATGAGCAAAAATTGGTTTGATTATGCAAACTAATTTCCATATATTTGTATGCGTTTTGTCTTTGAAATTAGCTGAAGGCATCGACGAATGCGTCTCCTGGATGGCTTCTGGATGACGGCAGTAGTGACAATGAAGCATCGGGGCCTTGTGGCCAGAATTGCATGCAGGCGTGGGAATTGGGCAGACCCGTTTGCGGAACTGATGGCAGAACTTATCCCTCGAGTTGCGATGTTTGGCAGGCCAAATGCAAGGGACATCACATCAGGATCAAGCACAAGGGGAAATGTTCAGGTGATTTTTTTTGTTTTGTTTTGGTTGTTGTGTTTTCTCTGGACGATTTTTTTTTCTCGCGAGGAGAAAAGGTTCTTTTTTTTAATTGTCGTCGACGAAGTGATTTTTTTTTCGTCGTTGGATCGAGAAAAAAAAGGTGGTTTGCGGGAGTAATTGCAAAGTTTGCAGAAGTGTTCATTCATTAAAGAAAAATTCTTTTGGCGATTTTGTGCACGAGGAGAAAGGTTTTTTTTTTTCGTTGAAGTGGATGAAAGAAGTGTCGTGATTTATTTTCTGCTAGTGTATTAGACGCGTAAGTTTGAGTAATTAGTGAAAAGGTTATGAAATTGCTGAAGTGATTTTTTGCGCGTGTAGAAGTTTTCTTGTGACGAATTTCCATCGACGAAGTGATTTTTTCATTGTCGGGGGTGAGAAAGTGTCGTGATTTTTGTGTCTTCGACGGGTAGATTTATCGGAAATAATTGAAAAGTTAACAAAATGTTCACGTGATTTGATCACTTGTGTATTGAACATTTTCTTGACGATTTTTGCACGAAGATGAAATTTTTTTCGTCGTGAGATCTAAAAAAAAAATGTAGGAATTGATTTTTTACTCCTGTGTTTGTGCATTTGGAAAGTAGCTTTTTTCGGGTGATTTTTTTCGTTGATCTAGTGGAAGTTTCTTGAATGATTTTGTGAGAGGAGACATTTTTTAAAAATTATCATCGACGAAGTGATTTTGAGTCGTTCGAGTGAAAAGTTTCGTGATTGGTGCTATTTTTCTGATGTGTTCGACACGTGGATTTTGTGAATAATTGAAAAGGTGACACAATTTTTCACTTCATCAAGTGGAAGTTTTTTGAGAGGAGAGCGTTTTTTTTTCCAGTGTGCGTTAGTGTATTGGACACGAAGATTTCGTGGGAGTAATTGAAATTTTGAAACAATTGTCTCCGTGGCAGTGAGTTTAAAATATTTGAAAGAAAAGTGTCGCTCTCACGCTTTCGATAGTTTTGGAAAGTGTTATTTTTCGCGATTCATCGAGTTCAGAACAAACTTGAATTCGTGTTCTGAATATTCGTGACGCGAGTCGAGTACAGAAATATCTCCTGCTGACAAATTATCATTCCTTGTTAGTTGTTATTGTATGCGGAGTGAAAATAATTTGCATCTTCCCGTGGTTATTCGTGACGAAAAAAAAATGAATCGATTTTTCACAGAGGTGAGTGTTGTGTAAGAGTGCGTGTCGAGTTGAAGAAGATGCATGTGGTGCCGCTCCCGAGGTGAAACGGCGCCACGTCTGTCGTTTTTTTTTTTATTTGTCAATTCAATTTGCAGTTATCAGAATGTATGATGAATGCTGGACTGTTGCGTCAGGCACGCATAAACAATCAGCAATGTATGATGATGTGCATTTTCTAAACGTGTTCCTTGATGGGTTTTCGCGCTCTCGTCATGAATTATGCAGAGGGAAATGTGGAATGAGGTTGATTTGATGCAGCGTGATTAATGTGGTAAAATCTTGTTACAACGGACTCCCAGGGACCTGATAAAAAAGTTTGTTTGGAACAGAATTCATAGTTCTTCCAGACTGAAGTTTTGTGGGAGACAAGTGATGCATGCTTGAATGCATGTACAGTGGGACCCCAAGATGCGGACATAATAGGTGCATCAAGAGTGTCCCTAAGTCAAGTCTCATTTTCCCTTAGACTTACATTATTCAATTTTCAATTGGTGTTTTACGTATAAAATACTCACCATAATTCCATGAAAATAAAACTTTTCTCCTAATTTAAACTGATTCCAATCAATATATTTCAACACCATTTGGGCACTTGGAGAATTTAATACTGATACCTCTGTACAGTACATATAAATTTTGGCTCTAAAAATAATATCCAAGTGAAAATGAGGAAAGGAAATACCTCTCTGCTGTAGGAAATTTTTTTAATTAGCTAAATGGATGGGAAATTGGTGAGAGAAATGCCCAAGAACTTTTCTTACATCAATCTTTGGGTTGGAAATACCTGTTTCTTGTAATTTGGCCTGTATTGTATGTGCAATTTTATAACAAAATGTCCCTATGTTGAGTCAGTGTCCTCATGTTGGGCCTTTTTTATGAGAAAATAAGTGTCCCTATGTTGAGTTGTCTGCAGGTTGAGGTGTCTGCATGTAGGGGTCTCACTGTACAACCTTTTTGGACTGCAGAATTTCTACAAAATTTCTACAGTTTGGCAGAGTTCCATAAAATTTTTGCAGACACAAAAAAGTTACGCTTGAAAGATTTTTTGGGGTTTTTTTGAAAAATTAGATTGTGAGCCAATAACGCAGCTTTAGTGGAATGTCTTGAAAAGATTCCAAATGAAATATGGAAATCATTCATTTTATCAGAAGAAAACTCTTTTGGAGTTTTTATTAGGAGAAAAGCCAACTACGAACATTTTAAAAATAAATAATTGTAACTGCCATTTGTCTTGCCAAAACTTCAGATGAAGATTGTCCTTCATTGATACTTTTGATGAATTTATTATGCTGGAGAAAGTTTCCCACAAACTGGCAAACAAATTCTGCAAACCACAGTTTGGGAAATACTGCTTTAAAGTGATTCCACAACATATGTGAAGAATAGTGCTCAAATTTTAAACGTATTTTGATGAAATAGCAAAGAAATTGCAAAATACTGTATTTAATCAAGTACCATGTGCACCTTCTCTCCAGAAATTGAGACAGAAAAATTGGGAGGGGGGGGTGAGATACATTTTTAAAGGAAAAATTCCCAAAATTAGTGCCCCTTGAAGGTATGTGAGTACAGTACTGTACCATGGATCCTTGATTAACAAACTTGATTGGTTCCAGACAAAAGTTTGTTGAACAAATTTGATTTTCTAATAGACTTTAAAGGAGAATCAATCAATCCATTCTTGGCACCCAAAATACTATTGAAAATGTAATGAAAACAAATTCTGGATGAATGTCTAATCAAAATTAGGTACTAGGTATTTTGAATGAAAATAGTGCTAAAAAAAACCTTACATCCAGAAAGAGATTCAGTTGGTGAACATTGAGAAAGAATTAGTTTGAAAGTGCTTTTTTCTCAGCTTCTTACAGTTTGATATCACTTGTTCAATCTACAGAAAATCTTCATTTACTCACTTCACGTAGACAAATCTTAGAGATGTTGTGTAAGCATTTGATGTGCCTTATGATTTTCAATCTTGATTTCTCAATTAGAACAGCATTTTACAGTTCATGACAAAATTTTGAATTCTTAAATTTGTGAACTTTTTTTTCTGGGAGCAAGATCTTGTCAACTGAAGGGATTTTTCTTGAAGGACAAAAAAATGCGTTGTACTGAGATACGCTGTAAGACGAATTATTATTTTTTTTTTTTTACAGAAGGGAACAGATGCTGGATGGAACGAGCTCACGCTCTGGCGTCCAACAACAATGCGCAACAGTATCTGGAGGCGTACATCCCAGAGTGTCTCCCTGACGGTGGCGGATATGCCCCGGTGCAATGCCACAAACTCATGGGCTACTGTTGGTGTGTGACGGAAAACGGTCAGCCGATCCCTGGGACGTCCCTGGCCCACCGTCGCCCACAATGCACCCCGCGAGAGAGTACGTTTTTATATTTGGAGAGAAAAAAAAAAGATTATCTGTTCGATTTTTTCATGTGAAACATTCTGTCGTTTCAGAAAAGGCGAATACGAGTCGAAGATCGTCTAGAGGAAAGAAGAAACGGCAAGGTGAGTTTTGAAAAAAGAAGTTTGGAAATTGTTGCGTTTAAGGTTTTATTTTATTTTTGTGTTTGTGTGTGATTTAACTACATTTGAACCTTGATAACTCAAATGCAGTGGACCCTTAGTTAACAAACTTTTTGGTTTTTAGGAAAAATCCTTCAGTTGACAAACCGAATTTTGGTGAGGTGAAAAGAAATAATTTTTTCTGGGGAATATTTGAAATTTTATTTCAGGGCTGAAATTTACTGTTTTGTCTGAGTGCAAATAATTTCACCTATTCACTGATATTAAAATTCTTCCCTTCTGGCACTTGTGTGTGTAATCCTTTGTTTTAAAATTTGTTTCAGCTGCATTATATATGTATGATTTTTTGTGACATAATTTTTTTGCTTTTCTGTGCTTGGTCATTCTAGTTGCTCAATTGTTAGAAAGGTCTGTGTAAATTTCATTTTTACCATTTTGAGTTTCTCTGGATCTGAAGCATTTTTACATTGGTTTTCATCAGTACTACTTGCGTATAACACTGTAAAATCATTCTGGGCTCTTGTAAGCTGCAGCAAGAACTTATTCTGATCATAGTTGATGGCCTTGAATGTTTTATGATCAATGTTCAATTGACTTCTGGGTTCATGGAATGGATTAAATTCTTCCCTATTCAAGTCTATGGGGAAATCAAGTTTGGTCAATGAATGCTTGTCTGGAATCAATTGAGGTTGTTAACCTCCCTAATTCCAAGTCTTTTAAATTATGGGGGGACTTCAATCCCTTGTAAATCAAATTTTGTGGAGATCCTTTGGCTGTTGTTTTATTGACACAGGTAAGAAAAATGCAGTAAAAATGTCACCAATTACAATACAGTGAGACCCTCACATGCAGACGCCTTGACCTGCAGGCAATTCGACATAGGGACACTTATTTTCCCAGAAAAAGATCAATAAATAAGGCCTGACATGAGGACATTGGCTTTACATAGGGGGGACATTTTTTGAAAAAATTGCAAATACATTTCAGGTCAAATTACAAGAGACAGATATTTCCAACCCTAAAATTGATATAAGAAAAGTTCTTGGGCATTTCTCTCACCAAATTACCATCCATTTAGCTAATTGAAAAAATACCTCCAGCATAGAGGGACTTCTACATTTTTTCACTTGAATGTTTTTTTTGTAAATGCCAAAATTTCAGTGTACAGTACAGAGATACACTATTCAATGCTCCAGATGTTCTTATTGAGTTGAAAATGTATTCACTAAAACAAGACTGGACTTCCAGACATTTTGACTTGAGGACACTCTTGATGCACCAATTACGTCCGCATCTCGGGGTCTCACTGTATTCTGTAATTCCTTCTTTGTTTCCCTTGACAAAAGTAGCCTTGGCTCAATTTTTTTTTTTTTAGTTGAAGAGGTTCAACTGTATAAGGCATGTAACGGGCATTATTGGGGTATTCCATTTTAACGAATACCAGACTAGCTCGTTGATGATGCAGACGAGACGTCATTAGTGTTCTCTGGAGGTCGATGCTCGTCGAAAATAGGCTCGTCATTATACAACACCACCTTCCTCGGATAAGAAGTCATCATCGAACGTCTCGAGTACAAAATACAGACTTATTTTTATGTATATTGGATTTTCTCGAATAAAAAAATTAAAGTTAGTCCTGTAATGATGAGAGGGAACCTTGCATTTTTTGAACTAGGAAGAATACGAGGTGAATGCTTTTTATGTATTTGATTGATTGATTTTTCGAAATTTCGGGAATTTGTTCTACTGAACCAGGAATAATTTCTTGTCTTTTTTCAATGATTTAGGGGAAAATGTGATTCGTTTTCGATTGGAAAATGGAAATGATGTTGGAATTTGTTTTGCAGGTTGTTCGCCGGCTGATCGGTACGTGTTCAACAAGAATCTCATTGACAAATTCACCACGGAACACAATCGACTGGCGAGACGAAAACGACCACCAGGTAAAAAATGTTGAAGCCGTTTTTGGTGGATTTTTCATTTCGTTTTATCGAATCAGTTTTGAAGTAAAATCTATCGATTGTGAGATTTGATGCAAATACTGTATGTCATTTTTCGATGATCTGTACAGAGAGCGACATCTTTTCGAAGGTTTATTGTTGAAATTGATGTTCATTCTGCATATTTATTTTTGTGTGATGAATTCCTGAAATATTTTATCAATTGTGATCCATCCATTCATGCTTGAAACGAAATGTTCGGATTTTGGAATTCAAAGCATTTATTTTCTGGTGATGAGTACATAGAGCGACATCTTGTCGATAGTTTAAATTCCTGAAACATTTATCTACAGTATTTGTGTAATTCTTGTTAAAACTAAATCTTCGAATTTTTGGGGTTTAATGCAATTATTTTCCGGTGATGTGTACAGAGAGCGACATCTAGTCGGTCTTTGAATTGAATCGTTAGTTCCTTGAGTAGTTCATTTGTTTTCGATCCACTCTTGCATTGATCTATTTTTATTTTATTTTTTTGTTGCAGCTGTTGAAAGACAAGACGCTTCCGAAGTGGACAAAGAAGTGATTGTGTGGAAGTTCACGACTTTGGACTCGGACGGAGACGGAGTTCTCTCTAGGATGGAGTTCAAAGCCCTGCGACAGCTCATTAAAAAGGTTTGGACTCGAAAAGATAAAAGGGAAAAGTACCCGTTTTACTGTTGATGTGGTCTTATTTTATTTTAAAATTCTGTGGTTTGATTTTTTATTTTTATCTCGTTGATTTAGGTTGTGAAGCCGAGAAGGTGTGCCAAGACGTTCACGAAATTCTGCGACGTGATTTATGATCGGAAGATTTCGCGGGACGAGTGGATTGGCTGCTTTGGCGTGGATAGTTCTAGTGAGTGATTGATGGTAACACTGATTGACTCGGTTTTTTTTTTTTTGGTTGCGAAATGCCCTAAATGTCGAAAGAATTTAAATTATTGCGCAAGAGGTGATCGGATAAAGTTTTATCGTTTTTTTTAACTGGGGTGAGGTCCGATCAATTCGTTCGATTCGATTCTAAAAATAGTCGTGAGTTTTTTTTCTCTGTATGAATTGAAATTCTCATGGGTTTCTGTAATTTTGAATTACTCATTGTTGATGTCATGGTGTATGTTTTTTTTTTGTGCTGTGCAGAATTCATGTACTCTGGATTTGGCAGTGGGAGGTCATCTGGCTCTTTGCCTTTGCAAGAAGTCGACACGCACAAATCGTCAGGTAATTTCGCAATGTCGATTATGATATTTTATTGCGTGAAAGCATGAAGAATTATCAATTCGTTGCCAAACCCTTTTTTTTTTCGTGGAAAAAACAAGCAAAAGATGGCTTTGGTCACATGATCTTTTTTCTTTTTATCGCAAAAGGAAAAGAAAATGAGAAAGCTGAAAACAACGAGTACATGGATGAAGTCGCTGCTTCGAGTTCTGAACAAGCTTTGCCAGTGAAAGACGGTGAGTGGTTGTGCTTTTTATTGAAGATACTTCTGCAAAAACTTGGATTATTGTGTCTTTTGTTTTTCTCAAAAGAGGGGAAGAGAAGATTTTAATCATGCAATTTTGTCATGGACATTGTGATGTTTTTGAATCTAGTGATTCATTGGCTGACCTTACCTTACTTAAAACTAAGCCATTTATTGTTTTTATCCTCCAGTATCTCTTTGGTACATATGATACTGTAGCTCTGTTTACTGACTCATTGCATTTCATTTATTGAAAAAACGTAATTGAGGAAAAGTTCATTAAATTCTCAGAAGTGTCCTAGGTCTTGGTGGTGCTCCAGTGTAAATATACTTCTTACTCTAGAACAAGTTATCTTTAAGCCAAGTGTTCCACACCATGAGAATTGAAAATTTTAAAAATAACTTTGAACTGTAACACCCTAATGAAAAGGTACTCTCCCAAATCTTAGAGGATCAGGAAAAAGTGTTGGCTTTGTATGATTTCTTCTCAAAGTTTCTTTTTGAATCTATTGAAAATTATCTAGGAACAGGCTGTGCTTTCCTTTTTTGCAGTGTTATGATGTTTGTCATCCAAAAAAAGGATGTCAATTCAATATTCATGCATTTGTATGTAGTGTGATGCATTTTCTTTTGATACCCTTGTAGGGAATTATTTTTTCATTTGCCAGAACGTTGTTGGTTGAAATGTGTGGAAAATGTTCTGAGCCTTGTGCATGCTGACAAATGAAGTTTTTATATCAATCAACCAATAAAATATCAATTTTTTGCAATGCAGGACGGAATTGCTTGGAGGAGAGGAAGAATGTACTGGAATCAAGTACTGGTGGTTCCTTGAATCTCTACATCCCTGAGTGCAACACTGATGGTTCCTACAAACAGGTTCAATGCTATACTCAGGGCTCTAAAGAACGTGAGTGGATTTTTTATTATTATTTGTACTGCAGTTCAAAATGGTGGTCATTGATCAATTTTTTTTTCCAGGATATTGCTTTTGTGTCAAGTCCACCGACGGCAGCATTATAGAAGGATCGTTCGCCAAAGGTGGAACCCCTGACTGCGAAAAGGTCAGAACGAGTCCAAAGGTGTCAACGACGACCCCGTCAGCGTCTGTCGACTTGATCTCCAATGCCCGGATCGTCATGAAAGGTGGTGCAAATATTTCGTGTCATTTTTTTCCTTGAATTCGCGAAAAAGAAGCTCAATTTATTTCCGCAGGCTGCACAGGGAGGAAAAAGGCGAATTTTTTGCAAGAATTGATGGACGAACTCTCGAAAGCCATGTTCCAGGCTGCAGCGAATGATTCCCACGTGTACGTCGCTTTTTCGACTTTTTGTGAAGATGTCGCTTCTTGTGTTCAAGATTATTTAATCCCGTGTGATTTTCGGATTTTTATGTAAAGATGTCGCAACTGGTTATTTCAGAATTATCAAGCCTGAGCGATTTTCAGGATATGTTGTGTAGATGTCGCTTCTTGACGTCTTAAATCATGAATCCCACGTCATTCTCAAATTGTTTTTTGAAGATGTCGCTTCTTATTTCTGTAGCATCATTAATTCAGTGCGATTGTCAGATTTAATAGTGAAGATGTCGCTTCTTATTTTAGGATCATCGGTGATCATCTGGGAAGTGGTCAGACGATTGATGAAAAGGCGGCGAGGTGGAAGTTCGCAAAGCTTGACGTCAATCGAAATCATGTGAGGAAAATGCCTTGAATCTAATTTTCTGCTGTCAAAAAAAAAAATCAAGTGGATTTTATTTGTATTTTGGCAGTTGTTGGATAAGCAGGAATGGAAAGCGTTCAAAGCTTGGGCACTATTGCGGCCTTCCTTGAAGAGAAAATGTGGGAAACGTTTGCCGCGTTTCTGCGATGCCAACAGTGACAGGAAGATTTCCATGGACGAGTGGCTCGAGTGCCTTGAAGCGAAAGAAAGTTAGTCCTATTTCATGATGCAGTATATAAAACTCGTTACGCAATGACGAACTTTTTGAGCAATTTCTTTGAAAAGTTTTTTTTTTTTTTGCAGTGAAAATTCGTTGTAGGGCTGAGATTCTCCAAATTGCTGACAGGGACATATTTTCACATCAGACCTATTAATTAGATCTTGCTTTTCTGCATTCTCAGATTATTTTATTGTTTGAAATTTTCCGACTGGAGAATCTATCAAACATTTGTCAAAAAAGTTTCTTATATAATACTGTACGGGGGACCCTTGGTCAATGAATTTAATTTGTTCCAGACAAAAGTTTGTTGATCAAACTTGATTTTCCCATAGACTTCAATGGGGAAGAGTTTTATCTGTTCTGTGAACCAGAAAGACAATTTAACATGGCATGTAAAAAATGCATTTATCAAGTGCAGTAGAAGCAGAATAAGTTATTATTCAGAATAAGTGAAGATTAAATATACTTTTCCAAACATTGAACAACTAGAAAGACCAAGCACAGAAAAGAAAATAATTCTGTCACAGAAAAGTAAATATGAATGTGACGAAACAAATTTCAATTAGCTTACATCAGCAAAATTAGCGTTTTCAAAGTGCCAAAAGGGAAGAATTCTCACATCAGTGCATTAGTGTATTATTTTTACCTAGATTATACCATGAATTTTTAAATCAAATTTTGAATTTTCAAATCTGGAATTTATCCCCTGAAAAAGCTACTGAAGAAGTTTGTTATTCAAAGGTGCACTGTACTGGATTTGGGAAGTTTGCTGTGACAATATTTTTTAAACATGTTGTGTAATTATTCCGTATGATGTAAATAGTTATTTTGTGTCTTTTTTATTTTACAGCAAAGGCAAAAAGAAGAGGCCCGAATCCCTTCAAGACCATCCTGAAGAGTGACTGATATTTGTGACAGCAGAGGGCGCTGCGAGTCGCACAAAGCAACCATGTTTGTTTTTGTTTCTGAAGCCCAGATTTGCTTTTGGAATGTGATATTCTCATTTGATGTACCTAACCTGATTGATGGCCAAAATTCCTCGTTTCCCCAAATGGTTTCGAAAAAGAATCTTCCAGCTTTTGATTAATGTGCCTTTTGCTTTTCTGTTTTCCATCAATTGTGCTCTGTGTTATTTGACAAGAAAGAAATTATCGTAATCTCGATGCTTTTTGTATTGCAACTCTTGTAATGGCGAAGTCTTTGATGGGAAGCAGAAAGGTTTTTTTTTTTTTGTATTGTGTTCCTGGGCGCAGGTATGATGATGCTGATTTTTTTTTTGGCATGCGATGAAACTCTTCCATGTGGTGTGATGATGCCATATATTTGGCACCATTTCTGTGAATGTGCTGCGAAATCAGAATGCCAAATTGGATTGACTTTTGCACCATGATGGTGAAGAAAATGAAAAGTTTTTTTGTGCAACCTGATGCGTTTCTGATGAATTCATTAAGCTTTAACTTCTGTGATACATGCAAAATAAATGTTGAATTACATGCATTTTTTAAATTGAACAGGAAAATGACTGTGCATTTTCCAGAGAAATGCTCTGCCCAATTAATGCCGTAGCAGATTTCATGCAAATTATTTCCTGAAATCTTTGCAATACAGTACTGTATATGAAAAAGTCTTTGCAAGCTTGGAACCGTATCATCAAATTGAACACGAAAAACTGATACTGTAATCTGAAAAATTATTTAAAGCATGCTTGTATATGTGGACTCTCTCTACAAGAGGATCTGATTTTTTTTTTGGAGAACCTGGATGAGATGGGTAGATATTCAGTATTCCATAAATTAGAACCCATATCAGGAACCACAAAAAATCCGTTATTGCAGAGAAAATATTTGTAGAAAATATCTTTGTAGGAAGAGAAGTACAGTACAGTAATGTTATATTACAGTATACAGTGATATTGGTGTTCTGCTGATCTTGGGGATATTCTTATCTCTCACTGTTCACCTTTATGAGATGCTTAATTTAATCTGCTAATCATAGATGGCGAGAGTGTCGACAATCATGGCGGCGCGCATGACTTTTGCGGTCTGGGTACCTCATGTAAACCTGCGCTGAAATCTGTCATACCTGATGATTTGGAAAACGTCGGTGTGGGCGGCACAGCGTACTCCCCCAAAATACTCCAGGAGTACACCCTACCTAGGCAGGGTGTACTCCAGTGTGCGCTATGCCGTCCGGTGGGTCTTTTCAAATCCGCGGAGTGAATTTCCATGGTGAACACATGCAGTAGTTCTTTCAACAAAATTCAGAGGAGAGCCAATTCCATCTTGTTGCAACAAATCTTGTTCATGCTTCGGAGAAATGTCTTCTTCAGTTCCTGCCCCAACTGCCACATTCTTATTTAAATTTCTTTTTGATGGATTTTTGTATATGACAAAGCATTTTCAAGGTCTGAAATGCTTTCTTGTCCAAAGTTCTACTGTACTT